ACCTAAAGTTCTCTATCTCTTCCAGCTCGGACTCTAACCTAAGAGCTAAGTCTTCCCCAGAGTCACTTGACTTAGGGGGCGAGCTGCTTATAGTCCGACCTACACTCTCTAAGCTATTGCTACTGGAGGGGAAAGACATGAAGACTACCATATTTCAAATCAAGATTAAAACAAAGAAAGCGACTGACCTATAGAGAGTTTGAGCTGGTTTCAGATCGAAATCCAAGAATCATGTAAGGTTTAACCTAAAGTTTCGGAACTATTTATAGCCAACCGGAAAAACCTCTACACCGTACACGTGTAATAAACGAGCGGCTGGGATCACCTCGGAATTTCTAACGTCGGAATACTTGAGTGCTTCAACAGCCTGACAGATCGAAACATCTTCCAGTTCCACAACGGTTATATTTATTCTACGAATCAAAAGTCGCCACGTGTCCTAACTTGAACCAGGTAACTTCTCTGTCAGATCGAGATCGAACCTGACAGAGAGGAGGCCAATTTTTGGGGATAAAAATATCTTGGACACGTGGAGGACGCTCAGTGGTGCTTAGAAATAAAAGAGTATTCCAAGTCCACCTCGAACCTGCCGAGGAGACCGGATTTGTCCATAAACAAGGCTAAGTGTAAAAAGCCGTGGTTCGACTATGACGGGTTCGATCTGCTCAAACCCGACAAGTTCGACATGAAAAAAGACAAAGGTAACCGCCGGTCGCAAGTACTGTCGGACCCACCACCTATAAATAGAGGGCCTCATTTTACACTCAGGTATCGAATCTCACTTCGAACTTAATATTGAGTCCGACCTATTCTGACTTGATCGTCGGAGAGTTTACCCTCTTGTGCAGGTTCACTTCACAGTTCAGGTCGAGTTGGTGACTGGGTTCGAGCTAGGTTCGCAAGCCCCGTTGTGCAAATCCTTGCATAAACATGATTATTCTAAAATTTTTCTCTTACAAATATATTTCTCTCAAAGTTGTCTCTTGATCCCACTTGGACTTTATTAATGTGTGGTTTTTAGTCCATGACATTTCTCACGATGCAACTTGCTTTAAATGATGTAATTTTGAATGAAACTCTAATTCCTAAATTTGCTTTCCCTTCCTAATCAGCACTATTATGAATATGACTAAAGCTCTCTTCAACTACCATCTATGCTCCTACTTAACCTCTATTTTTACAATTTATTCGTCTTGATTTTGTGTCTTCGTGCTAATGGAGAAAATTAATAAAATAGCTGTCTTTAAACAATTTTAGGGTTAAGAGTTATTACGAATGTGACTAAGTCACTTCAATTGCCATTTATGCTCCTAGTAACCTCCATTTTTACAACCAATTACCACACATATTTTTGTCTTCATGTTAATGGAGGAAAGTTAATAAGTTGTCTTGAAACAAGTTTAAGGGTTAAAAGAGTTATTATGAATATGACTAAATCTCTTTCACTGCCATCATAGTAACCGTTATTTGTACAACCAATTACCACACGTGCTTTTGGCTTCATGTTAATGGGAAAGTTAAATAAAATAATTATCTTGAAACAATTCTAAGAGTGGTGAAACTTTTGAAATAATAAGGGCGTAATTGAAATTTATCAAGTAAAATTTACTATCTACGGGCACGTGTGATCTCTATTTTTACAACTCACCGACACTTCCCCTATTATATCATATTTATGTTCTTTTTTAATGAAAAACAATGATAGAATAGTAATTATAAAATAATTTTAGAAGATGATTATAGAAATGAAGCTTTTGAAACGGTAAGAAGATGATCGAAACATTTTCCAAATTTGAAGGGCATTTGAATAAGAAATGAGAATTAAAATTTTCATTCACATGATGTTTACCAAGATCCCACCTCAAACTTCCTAATTATATTAGGTAATCTCATTTCTCTCTTACAACCTCATCAATCCCATTTTCATTCCTTATTTTGTAAACCCTACATATTTTTATAATCACTTTACAATTTTTACTCTAAACCCGTAACTCTTTTAATTAATTGTTTTGTACTTTTATTATTATTTTTTTATTTATACTACTAATAATTTCACTTCTAATAAAAAATTATATCATTTTTATGAGGGCTATGTGATTTTATTATATAATATTATTGATTTCTTAATTTTATTATTAACTAATATCAACAAAAAATTTTAAATAGAATTCATTAATATTAGATATTATAATAATAAAATTTAATATTAAATGATGGTTGTTTTGATGGAAATAAAATTATTTATTAATATGAAATAAATT